TGGAATTTTTCAACCGAAATTGCGGTTAGAAATCCGTTGGAAAATTCCAACGGATGCCGGTTGGAAATCCGTTCGAAATTTCCAACGGAAAAATTCGTTGCAATTCCGTTGAAAATTCCAACGGTTTTCCAACGGATACCGATTTCTAACGACGAAATTCCAACGGATAAATCCGTTGGAAATCCGTTGGAAACGTTAATTTTCAACGGAAATTTGGCCATTTCCAACGGATTTACCCGTTGGAAATGACCATTTTTTTTGTAGTGATATATTTTTTTTTTAAAATAAATAAATAACTTTTACAAATGAATTATTTGGACTGGCTCGGTTTGGCCCGATCCGAATGCGGAATATATAAGATCGGACTTCGAGGTTAACTATATAGACCCGAAAGAAATTGGGTCAGCCCAAGTCCTAACCCGAAACCTTAGGACCGAGTGCGAACTCAGATTGGGTTGGCCCGATTGACCTAATTTATATGCAGACATTTCAGTATTCGCTTTTATAAAAATATATCAATATTCAATTATTAAATTATATTCGATTCGTTTCAGTTTCGATACCTATAAAAAAATCTTTGAACCTCACACATGGAAAAAAAAAACATATCACCATAAAAATAATGCACTTAAGTTCTCTTGGTGGAATACATATTTATAACTCTGGGCCAAAGTTCATATACATAGGCCAACCAGCCAACGGGTGAAGGAAAGAGAATTAGGATTTTATGGTAGAGTGCGAAGTTGGAGTTTAGAGAATCGATTTAAGGAATTAAGAGAGTTAGATTTATATAGAACTAAAGTCATTTCTAGAAATTTAAAATGAACTAATTGTAGTGTTACTTTTGAACCCCATCTAACTTAACACCATTTTTATATGATCCATATACAAAGACTGCTCTTGGATCGGAGGTTTATCTAGTCAGCGCGTCCGAAGGGCAGGAGATAGGGGTCCTCCGTTATAAAAAAAAAAAAAATTTAACACCATTTTCAAAGTCAAATAGTTCAATTCTATTACCTAGTGATATAAATTTTCTTGTGGAACCTTGATAGAGTAACGTTTTTCCTAGAAATTTGCTTACATCAAAACACTTGAAATCGTATATTGGACCTTCGGAATATGTATTTAGTAAGCTATAGATACAAACTAATATATATATATATATGTGTGTGTGTGTGTGTGAACGTTCAGAAGAAATGTATGCCAAGAAGAAAAACCAACACATACGTGAACACTAATGCCCACGTTGGACATGCAACATGTCAGTAGCATGGATATGACACATAATATAGATATGAATACTTCAAAAGAATATACTTTGTCTAACTTCGATCGTAATGTTATGACGCAAATGTGTATATTAAATTATGCACAAATTAGACACAAAACTTTGAATTCAATTACCCAATAGTATTATAGAAAAACTTAACAAAATTTAGTATCATAAAACTCATCCTGCGCATGGGATGTATAATGGGATATGGTTTTCCATTTAATATCACACAACCGTTATTTAAAAAATACAGTGGAATGAAATAAAAAAGTTACAAATAAAATTTTATTTAGATTCAACTATAAAAATATAAATTAAATATTATTTTCCCTGGAAAGAATCTGAACTTTATTCGTCTCATTTCTACTCTGTCTGATTTCATTTTGTTTCATCCTATTGAATGTTATCATCTAGAATACGCAATCATCCATGCATGTAAAATATTTTAACGGGTATAATCGTAATTTTTGGATCCTACTATATTTCTCGATGCTTATACATCAAATATATTGATTGAAATTTTATTATAGTGGTCCAAAATATCACAGTAAAAATCTTATGAGGGCCAAATTCCAATCCCTTATTTGAATATATATGAGACTAAGGTTTTAACCATGATGATTACCGTTAATTTACATTTTTTTTGTTGTTGTTGCATTGCATTGATTTCCAGATTAGTCAACGGAATTATTAAATATGTGCAAGAAAATTGACGTGTGTGGTGCTTCGGGAAGAGAGGGAAAAATCCTCGAGGAGAGAGATATAAATGAAGTCCTAAAACATAGGGTTACCTGTCATCCATTTTAGACAATCGATAACTAATCCCACGATGTCTTTGGTCTCTGACAGAACAAAACCATGCAGCTACCTATTTAGATCTCTGTCTTTTCATCCTCTTCCTTAGATCTCTCTGTCTATATATACATATATATATATGTGTATCTCACATTGAGAATCAATTGTCGGTCCGTCCCATAACCCTTTTTAACCTTTATTTGTATCACAATTAAAAATTAACTTTAGACTTTAGGAACTGAATGGTAAATACAATACTGAAAAGCAATGTATCATCAACTTAGGGGGATCAAAGTTTTCTTCTTATTTACCATTTTATCCCCCCTCCAAAAAAAAAATCTTCATAACTATTATTATTATTTTTATTCATAGCAGTATTCCATGCCATGTGATGGGCTTTCTGGTATTGCATCCTCATATGTAAACAAGTTGTCGCTAGAAAACTCAGAAGGGTTGCTCACTTTTGCTTTTTGTCTCTTCTGTATATGATCTAGGTTTTCAAAGTTTCTCTCTCTCTCATATATATACATATATATACATATTATTGAGAATGAGCTACTAGAAACATGTAAGACAATAGAATCGGAGACACGGAGAGTTGTTGGTTTGAACTTTGAAGTAACAGATCAAATGATGGATCTGTAATCATAAACTAGTTGATAGATCCTTGAGAATGAACATATATAAAGATTATGGGCTAATTATTTAAGAGAAGAGAGAGAGAGAGAGAGAGAGAGAGAGAGAGAGAGAGAGAGAGAGAGATGGTCTCGATGACAGGCAGAGAGAGAGAGAGGGAGAGAGAGAGAGAGAGAGAGAGAGAGAGAGAGTCAGAGAGACACAGAGGGAGAGTGGGGGTCCTGAGTGATCTGTACAATCTGATCTAAAGGAAATGAATGCATTTGGCTATACTAAGGTGGGGGTTCTTTCTTTCTTTGCCTTTCTATACCTATCTCATGTCCATTCCTCCCTCTCTCTCTCTCTCTCTCTCTCTCTTATGTTTTCCATGTTGATGGAACCTAAAATTAAACTCTACCGCATCTAATGAAAGTTAGCTTTCACACGCATGCCTTGCACGCTTCACTACATCTAAATTATGTGTACTTGCAATTTTTTATCTGTAACGAACTCCAACGCTGTTGCAAAAGAAAAAGAGTATCAAACGATAATCGTTTAAGCTGCTGTAATTTTCTTACAAGATATTTTGCATTAATTGCCATTATATATTCCGTGGTACAGAGTTTTTTTTTTATAATTACTTCAATTTATATCCATGGATATCAAACATTTTTTTTATTAAAATGAAGTTCAAAACCATAATATATAGAGAAAAGAAATTGATGATATAGGGTATATAATACCATGTGTAGATGTAATTTTCACCCGGTAGATTTTTTCTTTTGAAGAAATTGTGTGATCCAAAATTTGGCTTTTCCCATCTTTTTTTTTCATATGGAGCCTTGAGATATATGAAACCCTAGCTTTTGAAAAGACCAAGTAAAAAGGATGTTTATTTGTTTTTTCAGAGGAAAATCATATGTTCATTATCATTATTTATGTGGCCCTAAATCTCCCGCTTTGATTTTTAAAGTTTATTTTCAGAATTAGGGTTTCTGTGGGGTAACTAAATTGCAGATAGGGTTCTTCTGCATGGGGTCGTCCAGTACCATTCCACATACACACACTTTGTCTCATATGTTTGTTTGTATGGGTGTCCTGGAGTCACGTGAACCTCATAATTATATTATTTTTTGTGTCTAATTTCGGCGACATATTTATAAATTTTAAAACAATTATCTATGATATATCTCTTTGCCTGTTGCTATAAACAAAAAATTACATGTTATTTCTTTTGACAAGTGATGTACGCGTGGGAGTTGATACATACATAGGCATGACCATATACACACATTAACCATGTCATATTAATTCAATCATATTTTTAGCCATTCACACACTCACACACACATATATATATATATATAGTGTTTGGCTCGTGTCTCTCACCCTTTAAAATAGATCTAAGTACGTATAGCTCGGACCCTTTTTGCCTTCTCTGATATCTCCCAATCTCTCTTCCTCCTTTGTGTTTCACCAACTTCAAAGCTTACATCTCTCTCTCTCTCTCTCTCCCTCTCTCCCTCTCAATGAATTCGAATTTTCATTACCCTATAGATCTCAATGAAGATCAAAACCACCAACCCTTTTTCTGTACTATTGGATCGTCTCATCATCAAGCTTCTTCCTCATCGTCTACATCATCTTCGTCTCTCTCGTACCTCCCTTTCTTGATCAACTCTCAGCAAGAACACGTTGGTTATAACACTGCCAATTACCATGGCGATCATGATTGTCTCTCCCAACCCCTCGAGGTATATTTCGAATTACTAGACTGTGATCCGTACATTCAAATTATGTTTGTTGATCCATTGATCATTAGAGAAAACAATACATATCTTAGTTTATAAGAATGGTTAGCTTGGTTCTTTTGACTTCGAGACATGAGATCACACGGATATCAGTGTAAAAATATTACATCTTTATATCTCCTGTTGTAACTTTTAAACGATATTGATTACCACTATATGTGTGTGTATATATATATATATATGATAATATATGTGTTTATTATCACTAGTTTAGGGTTGATCTTGTGTATATGAATTTCAGGCGAAGATGTTGACGTCAAACGGTGGATCATCATGTGATCACATGGTGCCAAAGAAGGAGACAAGACTGAAACTGACAATAAGGAAGAAAGAACAGAGGACCGATCTCCCTCTTGTTCAGAACCAGACAAAATCCAATCAGAGCGCTTCGTCGCCGACCACAACCACCGTCAAGTGGATGTCTTCGAAGATGAGGCTGATGAAGAAGATGATCGCCCACAAACGGCCCATGGATCGAAATCTCCACGATGTTGATCACAAGAAGAAAACTTCCCCCGATCACTCTACAGTCTACGACAATGGTCATGGTCACAACAATGGCGTGATTAGGGTTTGCTCTGATTGTAACACCACCAAGACTCCTCTATGGAGAAGTGGCCCTAGAGGTCCAAAGGTAAATCCCCACAGCAATTATCAAATTCAATCTTCTTTTATTTATACATAAAGTTTTTCATGTTATATATAAACCCATCATACCATGTTAATTCCCCGTAACACATGTTCCAAGATATCACTGGTTGAAGTCGCTATAATAGAACAATTCAAATTAAATAACATTTATTTTCTTTTTTATATATATTTTGTTATTTAAGAAACACTTGTAATAGAACAATTCAAATTAAACGACATTTATTTTCTTTTTTAATTATATATATTTTGTCATTTCAGTCATATTTCTCTTGTATCTTTTACATCTAGTGTCCAAGTGGATTCTATGTTGGCTGGTATAATTTCACATTCTCATGTCCGAAACTAAAGCTGATTTAATATATTATTAAGATTTATTTTTTTATCATAAAGTATTATGTTGATCTTAATCCGCAGTTACCGCCGGCTCCAACGATTCTCCGGCAGGACAGCCGCCGCAGCAGCTAGCGTTGGCGAAGAAGAAGACACATAACAAGAACAAGAGAACTAGCGACCATTTCAGCCCACCGCCGAAGGCCAAGAAGTGCAAGATCACGGCAGTTGATGCCTCGCCGGCGGCGGCGGATGATTCAGGAACTCAGAGCAAATCTTCTCCGTCGTCTTCGTCCTCTTCGTCGTCGAACAAATTCGGTTTCGATGATCTGACGATAATATTGAGCAAGAGCTCGGCGTTTCAGAAAGTTTTCCCACAAGATGAGAGAGAAGCCGCCATTTTGCTCATGGCTCTATCGTATGGGATGGTTCACGGTTGACAAGACAAATTTTCACAAAAGTGGACCACATATATATATTTATATATATAAGTTATATAGTATAATAATTGATTGTTAAATCTCGGTTTGGTCGTAGAATGTTTTCTTATTATTTAGTTTTGCAGTAGCGGTCTAATCAGGAGTGAAACACCATATAATAAGAGAGTGAGTTGCTAGGTTTTCTATTACTATATGGACCTCTTGAACAGGTTGATAACCAGATCATATGGGTCTTCTTGTTCATTTACCTCTTCCATCATGCAATGAGATCCGAGAAACAATTAATATAAATCATAGTTTTCATTTACCATTTCCAAGTTATTAAATATGTATATGTTTATATCAATATAGAATAGTTTGATATTTTCTTGAATGAATATCTCGTTGGGCAATGTTGCAATGAAATGTTGTTCACATAAAACACAAATGGAGGGAGGCAAAGATCCTTAATGTGAGAACGTGAAAGTCGTACAAAACAAGAGATGTGTAAGAAGATAACATATTTGTGTTGCATATTATGGCTACGAGTTCTAATTCTCCGCTATGGAAAGCAACAAAAAAAAAAAAGAGAGAGAGAAAAATCCCACAAATTTATTTTATTCCCAATTTTTAGCATAATGATTAGTTTTCCCGTTGAATATTTATATAATATTATTTTTTTGTTGGGTTGACCACTCGATTTACACAGCAGAAAAAAGAAAAGAAGATTTCTCTCTCTCTTCTTCACTCTACCTTCTTTAAAATTTCATGTCTGCTGCATTATTATATATACGCATATACACACACACATACACACACATTTGAGACAATAGCAATGATAGCTTCTTTAATTTCTGACAATACCCCTTTTATTTTCCGGTATAATATCCCCGTTTATTTAAGAATAGAATATGAAAATGGTAGGCTTTGACAAAGAACCTAGCGTAGCTTCTGATCACTTGAACTAGGTAAACTCCATCCTGTCAAAACATCTGCACGAGGAGGAGAGACCAATATATATATATATATATATATATGTATATATTGATTCAAAGACATGTTTTAATTTCTTACATAACAATTCTATTCATTAACATCATTGTTAATAGTTTCGAGAGGTTTCTCGTCTTCTTTCTCATTTTCTAAGCATTTCTCAACAACCAAATAAGGTGCAAACAAATAGATTAAACAAATATGGTATTAGAGCAGTACAAAAAGAGTGATTAATAAATATACGCGGTTCATTATATTTATCTAAAAGAAGAAATGTTTAATTTTGTTTTCAAACAGAAGAAGCATGAGAAAGCCTGTTGGGTATTTTTGGATCGTCGTTGACATAAAAAAAAAACACACTTTTTTATTCATATAATAGCATAGGAATTTTGTGGTTTTAGTTACGATCCAATATATTTCTCTTTTGACCGAAGATGAGAGAGAGTGTGATCTCTACATTGGATCTTAGCGCGAAACAGATTTTTAACATTTTTTTTTTGCATTGTTTATTGTTGTTTTATACTCTAATATTGGTTCACAAGCCATTCCACTCCCAAAATTCGATTTTGGGTCGGAACAGATTATATTTCACATTGGTTTCGGAGTGTTGGGCTCTAAGATTGGTTCACATTTCTCGCAAGAAGAACCGGTTATTGGATTCCGGTTATTCAAGTTGGTTTGGGTTCTCCGTTTGTTGTGAAATTTAACTCTCTTATTTGTTTTCCGTTCTTTCCCTTCTTCGCCTTTTGAAAATTCAGAGAATATGCAGAACTTGTTTACAAGTCTTCAAAAAATTTGTTAAAATTTTCTCAATTTTGTTTTTTGCACGTCTTAGTTTTTGTGAGTTTGATTTTAAAAAAAAGAAATATAAAATTATTTGAAGCATAAAGTGAGACAAAACAAAAGTAGGAATTTGGCATTTACATTGTTTTGGGACTGTGTTTTGAAATGGGCAGAGCTTCGGTTACGGGACCCTCACCATTGAAATCCAGCCACAAGTGTATGTTTCCATCTGATCCTCCTCTCTCTCTCTCTCTGTTTTCCTTCCGTTTTCTCTCCATCCAAACAATCAAACCCTAGATTCAGCCAAACCCATTTTACTTCTGTATCCGCAAGAAATGCCAGGAACTATTCAGGTCTCAGGTACACGAAAAAAGGAGCTAACTTTCGATTCGAATTCGATTTCGGAGAACACCCTTTTGCTAATTTAGCCCTAATTCGTGTTCATCTTGTTCATATTCACAGTTTCTGGTCTCAGTGACGTTCAGACATCTTCAGGATCCTCAGACACTTCCATTAAAGGTCCCATTTTGCTTATCTCTTAAGTCCCTTGACGTTTCCGTTTCTATGATCAGATAACGATTCATCACTGAAAGCTTCGATCTCTTCCCCCCTTGTCTCAGTTTCCATGGGAAAGACAGAGTATCAAACTTCGGATTCAGGAGACTACAGTTTGTAATTTCCTCCTTTATTATTGAAATCTACTCTCTAATTTTCGATTTTTTTTTTCTGGTGAAAAGATTGAAACTTTGTTGTCTCTTCAATGTATCCATTGGCACAGCCCTGTTACGACTCTGCGAGATAAGTTGACTGTTACATTGGTAGATGCTAACGGAAACGACGTATCGCGTAGAGGTATCTTTCTGTTTGCACTTAGGATCATGGATAGATAGCTTATATCATTTAAATCGATTCTGGATTTGGTAATTTTGGAGGTAGAAATAGAGAACAGACTGATAATAGAGAGAGGTTTCTTGGAAGAGAAGCTTCAAATCGAAGGTCGTGGAAATGTGCTTCTGAAACTGCAGTTTGTTCTCAGTGAAGAAGATCGTGATCGCATCCGTTTCTTGGTACTGATGCTCTGCTTTGCATATTATTCAGAATGATCCAGTCTTTGTCCTTGGCTGATCATTGGAATTGTTATTTCGGGTTCTTTGCAGAGACAATCTGCACTGAGAAAGAAGCATGAGGAGCTAGTCTATGGCAATGCTTCAAAACCTAAATTCATAGCCTCAGGTTTGATCTCCAAACACATTAGTGTTTTTGATGAGATGAGAGTTGTGTTTCTGAATTTTTGTTCTGTTTTTCTTGTTCTTGATGTTATGAGAGCTCTGTCTTCTCTAGATCCAAGAAAAATGGCTGCAGATGAACATGTAAATCCAGAGAGAAATAAGTGTTTGTCTCAAGAAACCGAGTTCAAAGTAGGTTTACGATGATTCAGATGCTCGGTCATGTTGTTTATGTATGCACCTCAAGAGATTTCTGCTCTGTCCATTGATTTTTCAACTGATTTAGTCTAATGCAGATGGAGAACCTGTCACCTCAACTCCTGTTTCATTACGGCGGTCTTCTTCAGATGTTTTTGCAATTAAGGAATCTTCAGAGGTCATAAAATCTGAAACCGTCTCGTTTGTTAAAGAAAATTCGTGTTTGGACAAACTGGAGACAGGCAAGAAACCAAAGGCGATGAGGCGGAGTATGTCAGAGAGAAATCTTACCAATGTGAAGAAAATGATAACCGCATTTGAGACAGGACTCACTCAGGTACATCCAGTTCTGTGACTTTGACTAAGAACTTAACATAAATTTTGCAGTTTGTCAGGAGCATTTTGGATTAAGATTCTGAGAAATTGTGGGTCAGGAATAGAACTGAACCCATTTTGTTTGTGAGGAACGTAGTGATTAAATTCCGTAGGACTCGATGTGGGACAGGATAAGAAGATTGGGGCAACACAGAAGACAATGTATACAGAGAATGATCATCAATGCAATGATTTATTAAGACACACCAAAGATGAGAAGACAATGGTTTCAATGGACAAGAATCTGGAAGAACAACCTAGAAGAAGTAACTCATTAAGCAAGCAGAGGAGAAAACGAAGTTCTGTTGCAGAGGGAAGGGAAGAGAAACAGATCAAATTTACATGTACTGAGGATTTTCGACAGTACAATATCCGAGGTTCCCGTCTCTGGATATTTCCGGACGGAGCAAAGGATTCATGCACGACAGCTTCTGGAACAAGGCATTTCGATTCGCCAGGAGCAAATGGGGTTCGGGCAAATACTGATTCCTGCGTTAGAGAAAACACCAGTGAGGTATGAATTCATAATCTTGAATATAAATCTTATCAGGGTGATGCATTTTCTGAGTTTCTGCTTTTTCCAGAATCCTCTTCAGAAGGGCTTTAATGGCGGTAGCTATGCCAAAACCAACTACAAGTGGAAGAACATTCAAAGATCAAAGAAACCAAAGCCCGAGACTTCTGAAGATTCTGAGAGATCCAGGGGACCTGTTGGGCAGGTTTGGTCTATAAGACAAAAGGGCTTCAAAAAGTTCAATTTTTTCCTTGCAACCGATTCTGATATTTCCATTACTTCATCATATGAACTTACAGGTAATGAGAGCTTTGATCATGGTGGGTTTTGCAAGTCTAGTACTTTTGACCCGACAAAGAAAAAACTGGTGCGTATACACACAACTACAATTTGTGACCTACTGAGCCGTGAACGTTGCTTTTATACAGAAGTTGAAGATTTTTTAATTAGGTTTCTTGCTGTTGAAGTTACCGGAAGACTGGTTCGTTTTACTGTATGTTTGAGCTGATATCTCTTTGCTTGTTTATTCCTTCTGCAGATAAATCCACTTGAGATGGAGATGTTGCTTCATGTGGGGCATTTCGTTGGCAAACGCCTTCAGATTCTTTTTAAACCCGATTGTAATAAATGTATATTCTCACTGATAAATTTTCTAAGATGCTTGATATCCATCGAAGACATGGGAACATCGAGAAAGTTTCGTCCTTTATCAACGAAACCCATTCGGGTCTTCCAAAAATCTGAGCTTTATAACGACGCAGTTGAAGCCGGAAACCAGAGCAGGGTTTAAGATGATATCTTCAAATGTTATGGAAAGAAGTGGAATAAAGTAAAAGATTTGGGAGAGTACGCGACTATGTGAAAGTTTAGGGGTTGTTTCGTAATTAGCTCAAATTTATGAGGAGCAAAGATAAGTTTCTCGAAACTTTTATTATGGTCGAGCCAAACAAAGCTTACGGAGAGTGAAGTCGATTTTCGGGGAAAATTGGAATAGGAGAAGACAGAAAAAGGGGAAATCTTTCTCCTCGCGGCAGATTGTACGGTCCCCGACAACAACGTTTGGAATGTTTTTACTTCTCGGTATTGGCTTCCTCTACATGGGCTACGATTTCTCCGCAAGCTCTTCACCTTCTATTGCCCTGACAAAGTTGGTTTTTCAGTCACGGTATTCATTTCTGCAGCTTTCGAGCAAGGTTTTTTCGTGGGTGTTTCCTGAAATTCGGAATTTCGGATGATATTTTGATGGCCCATTTCGGTAATTCTTCATCCACCGAGAGCCGGTTGAGACCTAGGGTTTTCACACTGTTCCTGTGACAAAGATGTTATTTTCAGTGGGGGTTTCGTTTCCCCTCAAGTTGCAGTTCCTAAGGTAACTTTAATTTGAGAGTGAACAAAATGCTCTTATAAATCTGGAATTCCGCAAGAACTGTGGTCGGAAATTGGACTGAATCTTGAAACTCAATACAGTTTCTGCAGTTGAGGGAACTGAGAGAAGCCATGGAAATACATAACACAGGAATTTGCAGTGAAGGGTCTCCTTCTTACCCTGATGAGAAAATTGAAGATCCAAGCATGGGGTGCTTTTCGGTTCGGATTCGGTATTGAACTATAACGATTCGGTTTTTATATTAACTTCAGATCAATTTGGCTCGATTTTATTTTGGTTTAGTTCGGTTTGAATTCGTTTTTTTATGAATAAAAGAAATCATTTTAAAAAAACTATCCGTTTGTTCGATTATTTTTTATCCGATTTAGATTCGATTTATTTGGATTTAGAAAAATCATAAACTTTTTTTTTTAATGTCAGTTTAGACTTGGTTATGATTAAATTCGGTTAATAACAGTTTTTTATATTGATTTTCTAAAACCAATGTCTATAAAACAAATGCTACTCATATAAAGTATTTATTTTGATTCCAAATATGGACAGTTTTAATGGATTAGACTAACCCAATATGCGAATATATATTTTGTTTATCCAAAATGAAAAGGGGAGAGAAATTAAATAAGATAGCGTATGAGACGACATGGAAAATATAACAAATTCCATTTACGTAAATGATGACGATAGTGGTGCATCTCATCTACCATTACGACGGATACTAATAAAATTTATCCATGATGCCACATTCCTCTCTCTAATTATCTATTTATTTTATCATATAATCATAATTAATAAGAAGACGAAATCATTAAAATTATAATTTCAGAAGGCAAACAAACCCTCGAAGACAATAATGGAAATCCGAGCCATGCACGCACTAACATTACACTGAATATCCAAAAGAATTAACAAAGTTGAACAGATGAAAACCAGACTACGTTTATAAACAATTTTGGACCGTCAAAATACATATAATTATTATATATCTTTTACGTAACGCTGATAACGAGAAGAGACGCAGAAGAAGAAGGTCCTTTGTTCGTCTGTGGAGATTGCAGGACTGTGAGCTTTAGCTCAAGATCGGGTCCTCCTCCGCTGCTGCCCGACCCGGTTTTATTCGGGCTTGGATCATATCCAAGGTCAGGACTGATTAATCCGTGTTTCCAAACACCGACTCCGTTAACATCATCGGCCGAGACCTGTTCATATATACAGATACAACGGTGCATGTGGTAAACGTTTTGACAATATATATGGTGATCTTGTGGAGTATTCATTTACCATATCGAAGAGGCTGGCACGGCGTTTCTTCTTGTGGAGGGTTGCTCGACGGAGAAAGTACTTCTGGGCATGGCTTGCCACTTGAGTAGGCGTTTTCGTGACCACGAAGTTTCGAGAAATCCCTCTCCAGTCTCCTTTCCCCAGCTTCTGTAACCCTAAAAGAAACTTCATGTGCTCCTCCTCCGTCCATGGAACCCCTTTCATCACAAAAAAAAAAACTCGGAAAGATGGACGAAAGATGGAAACTTTGGATGTGGGTTATGGAAAAGTTTTGACCTTTCTTGCGGTCGGGCGACGTAGGGGCGATGCCGTCGGAAAGATAGCCGGAGAAAGAGGCGGAGGAGGAGGATGAGGAGGAAAACGCCGCTGGCAAAGAGTTCATGCTGAAGCTTTTCTTCATGGCGGCGGAGGAATCCGGCGGCGGAGGAGGAGAAGAGGCGGTGGGGAGGTCGAGCTGGACGCCGAAGAGCCTAACCCCTGTTCTGTTGTAAGAAGAACACGTTCTTGAGTTGTGTCCTATGTTTCCACAGTGTGAGCATTTCCTCCCCATTGTCGCAGAGAGAGAGAGAGAGAGAGAGAGAGAGAGAGAGAGATGATGATGATGATGGTGGTGGATTGGATTGGAGAGAGTTGGGGGGTTTATGAGAAATGGGTGCAGAGCACACCCAGAGAAGATGATTGGATAGACCGAGTTATTACATTTTCTGGGGTTATACTTTTTGCTTTAATCTTTTTTTTTGTCAACTTGTCGTTTTTCTAATTTAACCAATAAGAGGACGAGTAACAGATCGAAAGGAAACAAAAACCAAAAAAAAAGGGGTCTACGTATATAGATTATGAATATAGATAGATCATCTACAACATTTGAATGGATACAATTGAGCTGAATATTATATATATATATATATATACACAATATTCGACCTGATTAAACGTATAATCATTGAAATACGTATATACACACACACACTGGTGAGTGTGTGTATATGTATTTGTCTTTTGTATCCATAAAAAGCTGATGCTGTGTGTGTGGAAATGTATCTTTCCAAGTAAAAGTTTTTCAGACAAAAGAATGTAGCTTTCTGGTTGGATCCTCCGATGGTGTTGGGGAGGTGGGTACGTGGCGGTAAGCTGACCAGAGAATTTGTCGGAAAATAAATAAAATTTAAGAAAATAGAGGGAAAAAAAGGGTCTTTGTTTACTTATTTAGTGATTTGATCAACCAACACCACACCCACACTTAAGAGTATAATACTAGTTTAAGGTACTCAAATTGATAATTTTTTTTTTTTTGAAAAGATACCCTAAAGTTATCATATTTGAAGCTATATGTCCCAATGGGACTTACACATATTCACAAACCCAGAACAAGGAACATGGAACAGAATTCTACAGACAGAAACTTACACTTTTACCAGTACCAATCCATCTTTGTCTGAAACTCCATAACCAAGCTTCCGAAGCTCACAACGGCTAGTTGTTCGTTGGGTTCATGACAATGTCTCCTTCTAACATCCTCAACACCTTCACCAGGAAACAGAACAGTCCCAGAAAATCAGAGAAAACAATGGATAAAGTTTGCAACTTTCACATTATCCAGAGATGAATCTTTGATCAAACCTGGGACATTCGCGGCCTGGAATAAGGGTCACGACGTATACACAAGTAAGCACACCAAGCCATTCGGTAAACTTCCTCCTCTTTGTAGCAGTTCATCAAACGTGGGTCGAGAAGCTCGTGTATCGAGTGTTTCTGAAGCAACGGCCTCGCCTGAAATGATTTTGTTCTGATGAGAAATAGATACAAAGATGGAAACTTGCAACATGGGTTGAACCGAACAGAGAGAGAGCTTACCCATTCGGTTAGGCATTGTTGCCCTTTCGGCCTCTTCAAGTCCATAGCTTTCCGTCCCGTTATAAGATCAACTAAGACGACCCCGAATGAGTAAACGTCAGCTTTCTCTGTAATTTGTCCGCTTTGAGCGTATTCGGGGGCCAAGTACCTGAAAGCGGAGCGAGGTTTCTTTATCTTTCCTGTTTTTGTTCCATGGGTTAAGAGTTACAGAGCAAGATAAGAAGAAATTCATATCAAGACAACGGCTGTACCCAAAAGTTCCGATCACCCGGGTTTCAACTCCTTTGTCTCCTTCCGGCTGCCACCTCGCTAATCCGAAATCCCCAACCTGGAAATCAATTCATGTACATGTATTTAAAATCTTCAAGATTTGTACTGAAGAAGATCTCAAAGTATGAGCAGAGCAGAGCAGACAATACCAAGGGCTCATAATCATGGGTGACTAGAATATTGTTAGGACGCATATCCCGGTGTACGATACAGCCAACCCTGCATTCCTCGTGAAGGTATCTCAATCCTCGAGCTGCTCCAACCGCAATCTTTTGCCGTGCTGACCATCCCAATGGTTTTCTACCCTGACCTGCAAAAATCCAATTAATATCGTCAGTTCAGACAAGAAAGAACGAAGCAAACATATGTGCGGCTTGCTGGTAAATGTACGAGAGAGTTTACCGTAAAGATGAGTATGCAAAGATCCATTGCAGATATACTCGTAAACGAGCAGCCTTCTCCCATCCTCCACACACAATCCAATGAGCATGACAACGTTCCGATGTTGAGCACAGCTCAAGACTTCAACTTCAGAGCAGAATTCCCGGTCACCCTGTGTGCTTGCTATCTTATACTGTTTGACAGCAATGACTTGACCATCGGACAAGGTCCCTTTGTGGACCGAACCAAACCCTCCTTCAGCCAAGAAATTCTCCCGAGAAAACCCTTTTGTCGAGGTCTCCAGCTCGGCATAAGTGAACCACCTTGGTGGGTTCCCGAATTTTGGTGCCTTGTGCTGACATATCGAGCATAATGGAGGAGGTCCAGCAGGTGGCTTTCTTGATAACGATACAACTTCACGTACGCTTTTGTTTAGGCTTAAATCGGATTTCTGTTTTTGCTTTCCCATCTCGGGTTCTTTTCTCAAGATTGCGAGCTTCAGAGCTGAAAATTTGGATTTTCTCGGAGTCTCTGCAGGAACTTTAGATAAATCTCCGCTGGGACTGAGAATATCAGCTGTTGCAGGATGAGAAGACGATGCCATGGATAAAGGGCTCCACTTTTCACCATCCGAGTCAGAATCTGATTCAAAGAAGCTCCTATTCTCTTCACTGATCCAAGAATTTTCATTCTTCAGGATCTCAAGGACTCTATATGCAAGAAATGGTGAAGCTCCCGCATCAGAGCTAGATATCGAAGAAGCTCCAATATCGGTTGTCGTCAGTGATGAGCCTTCTTGGTCTGGACTGCTAGCCGGAGTCACAAATGGTTCCCTTTGAATACTAAACCCAACATTTCCAGATTCTTCTGGATGTTCCCAAGCCTCGACATCTTTCACAGATAGGCTGGAAATCGCTTCTGGGCGTTGTGTATCTGCATTTCTAATCAAGTTGAGACGAAGAACCTTTGGCTGAGACTTGTTAATAACCACAAGATTGCACTGCAGCTGCTCCATACAGCACTTCTTCTCATGCTTCAACCCCCTGTTTTCAGAAGAAATGTTATAGTCAAAAATCAAAACAAGCCCGTGTCGAGATCAAGAAACAATGCCGAAAGTAAAACAGAACATGAAACCGAACAAAAGCATGGAAATATGGTGTATATGAAGCACCTGTCCAGTATCACCCAGTTTGAGTTCGCCTTCTTGGCTTCAGAAGCAACAACTCCATCAGGCGGGGCAGAAACAATTTTGATCCTGACCTTTATCTGCACGCAGAAACCGAAATCTAAGTTTTCATTAGGGATAGAATGGCTTACGATTATAACGATCCAGATTTGCACAAGTGGGTTTTCACCTTCTCTGCATCATAAACATTGTGCAACTGAAACATCATCTGTGAACAAGAATCTTGAATGTCATCCTTCCGATCTAAATTGGTTCCAGGGAGATATCTCCCGTGTCCAGTGGTGCAGTCACTAGTGAACCTGGAGAAACCCCATATCCTTTTACCTGAGACAAAACAGTGCATCAGTTTCCACATTCTTACATTGAAACTGGTAAAAAAAACCAGGCAAAACACAGAAAAGAAAAGGCGGCATATCACCAAAACTAGTGATGTGATAAAAACACTGAGAATCAACAGAGATCTCCAGTCCCAACAAATTCCAGACGAAGTACTCATAAAACACCAAGAATCAACAAAAGAGACAACATTTTAAGCCAAAGATTTTATGCCCAAGTTCAAAGACTTGAATAGGACATGAAAGGAAATGAGATTAGACAAAGGAGGAGAGAAAAAATTTTACTTGAGGAGTGAGCAGGAACAAGCACAAGAAGCTTAATACGATCCCCAGGTTGAACAACATGAGTTAAAGTCCACAATATAGCAGCTCTTGGGATTTCCTTTGAAGCCCTTACAGCAACCAACACTTTCTTCCCTACAACCCTTCTCTCTCTAAAACCCTTCTGCTTCATTCTCCCAAAAATTTGAAGAAACCCTGTTCGAATTTTCAATCTTGTGCTATACACTTGTTCCTTCCCAAACCCATTTTCAGAAATGAGAAATTGGGAGCATCACGCAAGCCAAGATGCCTTTTTTTTCTCGGAGATGGCGATAGAAGGCGGAAAAAGAGAGGAAAAAAAGTTGGAAAATTTGTGTGTGTGATTCAATGTCTCTCTGCCTTTTTTTATCTTCTCCGCTTTACAAGAGCCATCTGAGAAACCCAAGAACAGATGCACAGAACACAACAGCGAAACCCCCCATCTTTTCTTCTCTTTCTAGCTAAACCCCATATCAAGTTTCTGCAACCACGAGGCTAGATCTCTCTCTCTCTCCCTTTCTAACACACACACAGAGAGCCGAGAAACTAGGGTTTTTTTCTGGCCTTCAGCTCACGAAAATGGTGTGAGCTTAGCATGAAAAAAAAACTGTTCCTCATTCGGTGGGCAGAAGCTGTTGTAGTAGGCCAGAATTTTGGAGGGGTTTTCAACACCGATCTTCGAAAAGAAGATAAAGAATTCGGTAATGACAATTACAGGAGACAAGGAAAGATCCAAAATTTCCGAACAAGCTTAAACAAATGAAGAAAAGGACAAAACAGAAGAGCTGGCTTGGTAACGAAATGAGAATTTTTGGTAATATTAGGAACTACTGTGATATATCATGGGATGATGAGCTTCTCCTTCTTCCCTTGTCTCTCTCTCCCTCTGCAATTTTATTTATTTATTTATTTATTTTTCTACTTTTTAAATCTCCAATGATAAAAAAAAAAAGGGGGAAAACAAGAATAAAAGAATTGTCCTCAAAGGTCTCTTCTGCTTTATTCTAAAGAGGGCAAAAGGCAGTGTCAAAGGATTTGATCTTACAAAAAAAATTCAATTTCTGAATTTGATTTCAATATTAAGAGTATCGTAATATGACCGTTTCTTTCTTCATGTTCAAGTTACTCCAAAAGCTTCTTCTTCCCATCACGGAATCGATTCTTATATATATATATATATATATATATATATATATATATATACATATTTCTTACTTTATTTTTCAAAAAAAATTAATTTTAACTCATAAATTCTTGCGGAATAAAGAAAATATTGCATCTTTTTTTTTTTGTAATGCAATGCATGTAGATATTATTTCCTTCTCGGTTTCAACAAATGTGAAATGGTCATAATAATAATAATAATATAATCATGTGTTCCTTTATTTCAGTGGGGAGATGTGAGAAAAAAGGTTGGAAACTGATGTCCCCTTTGATAAAGTTGGAGGCTTGCTCCACCAAATCCAGTCTAATGACATAATGATCGAATTTATTCCATGTCATATATATATATATATATATGTATCATAAATAATTTTATTTTGAATTGGGGAAAAAATGAGATGTATATCTTACTGTAACCGTAGAGTAAATGAGCAAAACCAATTTCACCATTACTATAGTGACAGAAAAGGCATCTCTATGTGTGCCGTGGACCCATTCATTCATATCTGGATCTATATCTAATCACTTTAATAGCATTACAAACATGTATATATAATTATATATATATACACGCACGCATATTATCTATTCCAACTTTCTGGATTCCTTGGTTGCTAAGTGTTCGCTTTTTTTTTTTCTTGGCTTTACTTGTCTCGAAATTATGATCAAATGAGTGAGGGAAAGCTTTTTATTCGCCTCTTCCAACGGTAACTAATTATCTCTCATAATCATTCTCTTCTTCGGTGTCGAAATAAGAGGCGGGTGGAGAAATCCAGATAATTTGATAAAGATTATGATCATCGTATCGAGAGATTGGAGGTTCGATTATTTGTCTATTCACCTTTTGCCCGTCAGTTTATGACTGATTTAACTTCTATGTGTGTGTTTGCCAACTCCTTTACATAGATAAAGGTTTACCCAACGCGTTTGAAAGATATTAATTGGAATTATCCATAATATAAAAATAAATAAATAAATCAGATGCTGAAAATTTATCTTAGCAGAAGAGAAGTGGCGAATACAGAGGATAATATATGGTAACCTTCTTGCATCGTGAAAAGGAAAAAAGGGATGTACAGATAAATAGAATTTTTTGAGATTTTTTAGAGAAAAAGATCATCGGGATTATGATATCACATGCGGAATGATCTCGGTTGACGAGAAAACGTGCTGGAACAAACCCGTTTCGAGGGAAAAAAACATTAGTTAGAGTATGAGGATCGTTGCTGAACCGAGGAGCAGTACCAAAGACGAGAAACCATACGTACGTGGACTAAGAGAATAGTACTACGTCTCTCTTGTGTGAAGCAATTACAAATAGTTGGCATCGCAAACAGAGAACGTCCGATGCCGGAATGTCGCCGGAAAACATTTCTCCGGCGAGTGTATATCCATTAGCTTGCGGGGTTGAGTTATACAATGACGGATGGATCGGTGTTTGTGAGATCTCCGGTTATGGGACTGAAAAGATGTGAGCAACACAAGGGGATGGGAATCACCTTAGGTATGTACTTTAGTTTTTGGTACCAAACCGGTTTAGTACCGATAAGATTGATTTCTGTACAAAACCGGTATACTAAACCGGTCTTCTGTACCGTGTTTCCACGGAACCAGAGTCGGTAGAATCTTCTGGCAATATAGTGACCGTCGATCTAAATGGATAAAGTTAATCCGACGGTCAATCTCTTGGTCAACTCACTAACGTGAAAAGTAATCAAATCAACGGTCCTGATGTTGATCCATTATCACGAGACGTGATCGACTTTTATCCTGATTTTTTCTGGATTTAAATTAAACAATCGGAAGTTGAAAAATCACGCCTTGAACATTGGAACTCGCAGGTTGGTGGAACAATCCGTTTCTCTGATCGTCGCCGCGAAATTGACCGTTCGGTCATCCACCACGACGATGCCACCCGCCGGAGAAATCCTTCAGGCGCATCTGAAGAAGGAGCAGAAGTTTTCCGACGCCGAAGCAGTGACAGCGGAGGCGGAGGCGGAGGCGGTTGGATTGTGGACACAGATCAAGGCGGAGGCTCGCCGCGATGCGGAGGCGGAGCCGGCGCTTGCGAGCTACCTCTACTCGACGATTCTGTCGCACTCCTCGCTCGAGCGGTCTCTGTCGTTCCATCTCGGCAACAAGCTCTGCTCCTCTACGCTTCTCTCCACTCTTCTCTACGATCTCTTCCTCAATACCTTCTCCTCCGATCCCTCTCTTCGCACCGCAACGGTGGCCGATCTTCGTGCCGTTCGCGTCCGGGACCCGGCGTGCGTCTCCTTCTCTCATTGCCTCCTCAACTACAAGGGGTTCTTGGCCATTCAGGTGATTCCGCATCGTTCGTTTACTTTCCGATCATTTCCTTTCCAGATTTTTTGAATTTTTTTTTGAATCCGTGATGAATCAGGCGCATAGGATCGCGCATAAGCTGTGGACTCAGTCGCGGAAGCCACTAGCTCTGGCTCTTCAGTCACGGGTCTCCGACGTGTTCGCCGTCGATATCCACCCGGCGGCGAAGTTCGGGAAGGGAATACTCCTCGACCACGCCACCGGAGTTGTCATCGGAGAGACGGCGGTGGTGGGGAACAACGTCTCGATCCTCCACCACGTGACGCTCGGGGGAACGGGAAAAGCGTGCGGGGACCGGCACCCGAAGATCGGAGACGGAGTCCTGATCGGCGCCGGAGCAACAATCCTCGGGAACGTGAAGATCGGCGCCGGAGCCAAGATAGGCGCGGGATCGGTAGTGCTGATCGATGTGCCGCCGCGGTCAACGGCCGTTGGGAACCCAGCGAGGCTTGTCGGAGGAAAGGAGAGGCCGGCGATGCACGGCGAGGAGTGTCCCGGGGAGTCCATGGATCACACCTCCTTCATATCGGAATGGTCAGATTACATCATCTGAATTCTCTCTTAGTTTTGCCTCTGCGTTAGAATTAGAAAGCGAAAACCTTTCAATCTGCAATGGCTATCGAGAACAAAGATAGAATGCAATTAGATTCATACGAATTTCTCTTATTATTGAATCAAATTCCTTAACAAAACGGATGTTACATGAACATTTACACACACAAATGAAACAATTACAACTGATAACTCAAAAAGTTGACTCCTTTTTCAATGGCTGACTACAGAAGAATGCGTTAAAAGCGTGTTTTCCCTCTTTTTTTTTGTGCCCTCTTCTTTCTCACTAATCACTTTTACTTACAAGACCTAAGATACAATGCCCAGAAAACTTGGAACAAATCAAGAACAAAACGGGTTAGAAACAGGATGAAGAAAATGAAGAGAGAGGAAGAAGAACTAAGAGGAAACCCGAGTTTTGATAGGCTTAAGCTTCAATCCCATGCTCTCGGGAGAGAGGAGCTCGGGAGAGATGCAAGAAGGGCTGAGAGGACTTCTGGGGCTACCTGTGAAACAGCTTGGTCTATATAACCCATACCCCATCAAGAAATACTCCATTGGTATCAGCATTGCATGTGGTTGCTCTTCTGTCACCATTGATCCACATGCCTGAACCTGAACCAAACGAAAAAAAACAGAAACCCCCGGGAAAAAATTGTCAGAACAGAGAAAACCCGAGGCGTTTTGTGGGTGAAAGTTCACGGCTTTTTTCAACCTCGACCAAGGCACAATATCTTCTGTCCATATTGGCAGCCATATGAACGGTTTCTGAGTAGAACGGAGATTGATCCCCGATGAATACGAGTGTCCTGCATTTTAGTTTCTTCAGTCCACTTGTGATGTCGGGTCTCCTGCATGGCCATTTCGTTTGGGCAAAGATTAGAACAGAGAGTTTTGTCGGTATCAAGACTAACACATAGGCAAAGGTCTGGTTCCTACCGGTCAATTGCTTGCAGAAACCGCATGATGTTTATGCTTTGCCTCTCATCAAGCAGCTGAAACATGACCAACCCACATAGTCAGGATTCATATAGAAAAGCATCTCCAAATTCAATTGATGGATACTGAAAACAGGGGAGAAAACCCGACTCTTCTGCAAGCTTGCACGATATCCGACTCTGGAACCTCTATGTTTCCACGTACTTCCTGTTGCAGATAGAAAGCAGCGTTTTAAAGGTTTCAACTTTAGACACGGAGAGGCTATCGCGCACATATAGAGATACAGGCACTATAGTAATACCTTGCTGAAGTATCTCTGAAGCAAAAGTTCTTTCACCACTCCACACGTACCGTAGAAATATAACAAGTTCGACATGATCTACGAAAATATAATGAAAAAACTGTCAGATGGGAGGGTGGAACTATATGATTGCTCGTTTGTGGAAGTTAGATACAGTCAGCGAAGGAAAAACCTTGTTATAGAACCATTCAGACCAGGACGGCGCCTTGCATACAGGTGAGACAAGTATCAACCCGAGAACCCGTTCCCTATATTTCATCTGTAGATTCAAACTATGACATATAAACATACTGTTTGTATGCTCAGATGAATTGACAGAACATGAAGAGATGTGGCATACAGCGAATAAGGAGAGGATGTAAGCGCCTGCAGTTACTCCCATACACATCACCACCCCAAGTCTGAACAAGAAAGCATATGCAAAGTTAGTGTTAATATTTTCTACGCAAAGGGCTCAGAGAACAAACTTTTCGGCTGAAAGTTCAAGAAGACGGAGAGAAGGCTGTATCATTACCCAAAATAATTGAGAACTTCAAGGATCTGATCTGCTAAGCCTTCAGCAGAAGGCAGAGAATCATTAGGACTAATTGGAGCAGCTCCCAACTGCAAGAGCTCTTCGTGAAAATCCCAGAGAGGGAAAAAAAATCATGTGAGTAATAGCGTTCAGAGAGTAACAAGGCAGACTTGATCATCAAACCCATTTCAAAATGGTAACCGAATGCGGACCTCATGCCCAGGTGGACTGATATGGTAAATGCAGAAGTTATGTAGCAGCAAGGAAGCTGCTTCAGGACAGAAGAATAATCCTTGGAAGCATGACATGTCTGGACAAGAGGGAAAGAAACTGAAATACTCTGCCGTTTAGCCATGCGTTGGTTAGTCAGAAAATATGACGGAAAAAGAAGAATAAAATGATGTATGTAATGAAGGTTCTTTACACTTACGGTTTAGGGCCAAATCAGGATAGGTGATCAATGCTGGCTTCTCTGGGTCTCCACATACAATGACAGACACAACACCAAAGCCGGTTTTCACATGATGCTCCTGAAAGCAATAACCGAGACGTTTCAACAACAGCAAAATGCCAATGGATCGAGAAAGTCACAGAGAATAAACCGATCAAGAAAATGCTGAAACTGTCAGATTTACTTCTCCCCATATCCTAGTATTTTCTAAATTCTTGTCCAAGTGTTATCTTCAGTCACACAAATCTGTTTTCTGTTGTCTCTGCATCCCCAAGCTTGGAATATGACAACTTGCTTTTGGTAGAAAAAAGAATTACTAGTTCGGGCTACCCGGGGGGGGGGGGGGGGGGGGGAGCTATAATCAGTACCTCATCAATCTAACAAAGGACCGAGCTTTTCAACAGAGAATGGCCTAGTTCCAATCATTAAAAAAAAGTAATGACAGTGCAAAAGAGCATCATTGAAATGGAAAATCAGTTATTAAAATAGAAGAAACATATACTACTTTAGTGAGATTTGTTGCCCCATAAACAAAGGGTTTAAACTTGAAAGTGGACAAAAACAGCTGGACATGTTTTTTCTTTTATGAAATCTAAAGGCAATAAGACAAGAATAAGGAATACAGAGAAGATATCTTAAAAGAAAAGATCCCCCAAGAATGCAATCCATCTGTAAGACCATAAAACAATTTCCACAAGCAAAGAATCCTCCAGAAAAGTTATCTGCTTCCCGAATCAGTAGTTCATTTTCACATGTCGGGTTTTAAAGATTTATCTAACTGGAATTGGGAAGAATTCTGCAGAAAACTGTATAAACGGCTAGAATGTTAGGAAATACATTTAATCATGCGAATCCCTCTACGATCAATGATGATATTGTAATATCTTGAGCATGAAATTTGGTAAAGAAAGGGACGAAACGCATTGCCAGATCTTGTAAAGACAATCTTTCAATTGAGTTATTCACCAGAAACAGATGAATGAAACCAATCAAACCCCAATGAAACCAATCTACATGATCTCGATCAGAATATTAACAATGGAGATCCTTTTTCACTCTATTTCAGACAAAACTAGGCTGAAGATCCAATCAGAAGCCTCCCCTTATTGTTTAAGCATTGTTAGGAGAACCCCAGAAAGGAAAGACTAGAAATCAGAGGTACAGCCATATCAGAATTCCATAAACATGTTCAATGAAATTGGAACAAGTCGACGAATTTCAAACACCCAGATAAACAAAACGAATGGGTAATGAAGAGATTGAACCTTGCCACCGAGATAGATCGTCTCAGCATCGACGGAAACGGCGCCGTTCGACTCCGCCATCGGCACCAGCACCTCCGCTTCCGCTTCCGCTTCCGCCGTCGCAGTGGCAGCGG